GAACGTCTCGGTCATGTCTGCATGGTTCCCGAACCCGTAGGGTCTACGCACTTAAGGTTCAGTGACGCTAGAGTTGTTATGGGAAATAGTATGTGGTTACCCAAGGTTGTTCGGAGTCCCGGATGACATCTCGGACGTGACGAGGAACTCCGAAATGGTCCGGAGGTGAAGATCGATATATTGGACGAAGGGTATTGGAGTCCGAAATTGTTTCAGGGGTACCGGGTGACGACCAGCGTGTCCGAAAGGGGTTTCGGAGGCCCCGACAAGTGTTGGGGGGCCTTATGGGCCAAGGGGATGGGGCACATCAGCCCACTAAGGGGCTGTGCGCCCCTCCCACCCCATCTCACGTAACTTGGAGAGGTGGGGGCGCCTCCCCTAGGGAAGCCGCCCCTCCTGGCTTGGGGGGGGGGGCAAGTTTCCTAGGGGTGGGAGCGCCCAAACCCATCTAGGGTTTCCCGTGTGGCCGCCGCCCCTCCCCTAGGGAAACCCTAGGGCGCCTCCTCCTCCCCCCTTCCCCCTATATATAGTGAGGGAGAGAGAGGGCAGCCGCACCCCCTTCCCTGGCGCAGCCCTCTCCTCCTCCAACACCTCCTCCTCCTCTGTAGTGCTTAGCGAAGCTCTGCCGAAGAACCACGAGCTCCATCACCACCACGCCGTCGTGCTGCTGGAGTTTTCCCTCAACTTCTCCTCTCCCCTTGCTGGATCAAGAAGGAGGAGACGTCCCCGGGCTGTACGTGTGTTAAACGCGAAGGCACCGTCCGCTTAGATCGGAATCGGCTGCGATCTGAATCGCTGTGTGTACGACTCCACCAACCGCGTTCTTGTAACGCTTCCGCATCGCGATCTTCAAGGGTATGAAGATACACTCATCCTCTCCCTCTCTTGTTGCTAGAATCTTCATAGATTGATCTTGGTGATGCGTAGAAAATTTTGAATTATTGCTACGTTCCCCAACAGATTTAAGGGAAGCAGTAACTGCCCCACACGTCGTGGGGTGAACCGCTTCGATAAAGTTGCCAGACTAGGTGTGACTATTCATACCTAGATGGTTGATCTTCGAGGCTAAGTTATGTGATCTCTTTGAAAAGGATACAAGCTCAGCTGGACCTTGGCAGGCATCGCCCCTTTGAAGGAGTGATTCGGGAATTATAAAGGGGAACTCGTCTGTCGAGCCAAGGACTCCGGGTCCGAGGTTGCTTTCATCAAGGAAGTCGTCCTCGACGTAGAAGACCAGTTCGGGGGCTACTAATGGTGTCCTGGATTAGGGGGTGCTATCCTAGTCAGCCCATCTCCTCGGGTTGGCTAATGTGCCCTCATTCGTGATCAAGATGGACTTCGGAAGCCGTATGCAGGAGGCGTGATCAATACTACCTCCATCCAAGACTTGGCGTATACTCCAAGATCTCTCATGCCGCCTTGCTCCTAGATGCCGACCTTGTAACCCTAGATACCCTATCTGGCGTGTATATAAGCCGTAGGGTTTAGCCCGTAGAGGAGACATCAATGCAATAAAATTGACCTAGCTAGCCCTAGAGTTAGACCACATATTATGATCTTGAGGTAGATCAAGTCTGTACTTGATACATCTCCATTCATATAAACACGAGCAGGAAGTAGGGTTTTACCCTTCAAAAGGGCCCGAACCTGGGAAAACATCGTCTCTCTGTTCTTGTTACCATCTGTCTGAGATCCACAACTTGGGACCCCCTACCCCAAGGTCTGCCGGTTTTAACACCGACAGGGCTCCTGCACAATTGCCAAATTACGACTGCTCTGAGCCGTGTTCGTCGACTGCAGTGTACCCACCCCCACCAGGCCACCATCCTTCTTTGGGTCGGGGGTGGTGGTGACCAGGTTGTCGAGGAGCGTGGGGGGCGGCCCATGGGAAGGCAACATCGTGCTGCCGCACGAAAGGTGATGTTGCAGAGGGAGGGAGCCGACGGGAACGCCGACGGGGAGGGGCATTATGAAGGGAAGGGAGTGAGGCCAGAGGCGAGCGGGGGAGAGGTGAGGAGGTTGCGTTGGGCATGTGGGGGACGTGCAGGAAGCGCAAGTAGCAGCTGGGCGCGTGGGGGTCGTGCAAGGGGGGAGGAGCGATTGGTGTTTTTTTTTGGAGCGAAGGTTGACAGTGGGAGACGTGCGGTACAGTGATAATTGTAGAATTTTAGACTATAGGATCTATTGTGTACACGGATAGAATGAATTTGGATCTCGGCACTTCGTGCTTTTATATAGGGATAGTAGAAGAAAAGTCATTACATGACTACTTGGATGGCATATCGTCTAATTGATAAACAAATAGAAACATTTTACATGTATAACAAACATGATGAATGGTGAGCAAAGGTTTGGTTGGTGTTGCCTTGTCTTTCTAGTGTTCCACGCCACAACCTCCTAGATATCAGCTTTAGAGAAACTGTCGTTGTGCCACAATTTCCCTTTTGCTTGTAGGGACAAGGGACCAAGCAATCGTAATCATCACCTCAACATCAGCAATGGCAAATTTATCCTGGCTTATGTTGCAAACCTGGGGCGCGAAACAAATACGACCCTGTGCACCGATATCACCAGATTTTGTGTAGGCTTCTATGGCAATGTCCAACACTCCTTCAATTTCTACAGAAACAACTTGCCTCGGCAGGTATATGTGACCATTAAGACCTTTCAGCATTGCTCCATCTTTTGATTCAAGCATTACAATTTGGCTAGATGAGGGATTAATAGCACAAGTGACTCCACTATCAGTGACCACCGTTTCCCGTGAAGCTGAGGAGCAAGCAACTCGGCCACCATATTCAAACGGCCATGAACCACACTTGACAACTTGGACACTCAAGATGGTAGCCTGGACTGTTCGTTTGACATGCTGCAAGCATAACTCCAGTGTACACAAACAATTATCAATGCAAAGGGTCGATACGCCAAGACCTCCTCCACTATAATTGGCGACATAGCTGATCAATGCTTTATCTTGAGACATTGTTGGACCTTTCACTTTCAGTTGGATTTCAATGTCAACTATGTCTGTTAACACAATTGCACGTGATGGCCCAATTAAGCGCAAAAAAGAATCCTGCAAACATCATAGAAAACCCCGAATCGATTACAGACCCGACCCCCACACGCGGGGGGATACGTACGCAGCGTTTTGGCTGGACCAAGTTAAGCTATGGAATCTTAGTGTTCCATTTCAAAAAAAAAAAAACCCAACCGTCTGACAGAAACCAATCGTCCCGAAATTCAAAAACCCCCTCATAGAATTAATTCTCGTACTAACCACCCCGTCTCCACCTTCCTCCTTCCCGTCGTCACCGTCGGCAGCTTTCCCAAGCGCGGCCGCGGTCGGGCCTCAACCTTCCCCGCGCACTTCCGGGCGCAGCTCGCGGGACCATTGATGTGAAATTACTTCCAATTGAGCAAGAAACAAAGAAAGGCAGAAACAACAGTGTGGATCAGCAGCGACAGGCAAAACAAAAGAAAGCAATAGTGTGGATCGGTGAAATCATTCACTTCTTTACTCCACCTGTGAAATTGAGCAGTGGATCAACAATTGTTTATTCTCAAATACGCACGAGCGTGCATACTACATCTATTAAAGAGGAGAATGGGGAAAGAAGCACCTCCGCATTGGCGGTTACAATAGTTACATAACCCGAACTCCACCCATAATCTCACAAGCTAACTACTCGCCACATGACCCACCTCCATGGCCGCTAGGATCAACAATAGTGTGTGTTTAAAATTGATCCGGAGAGGCAGAAAGCATTTGTACTCCATACTGAACACTTGATCAATGGCTGATCAAGTTCACAGCCTTCGTAGGGAACACTTGATCCATCCATGGTTGTAAATCTGCTACTGCTAGTGTATGAAGATACAGAATTATTCTGGGGTGGAGTAGAGGTTGTCATTGCGATTTTCTGGCAAGGTACCATCTTCTCTGCATGTGATTATTTGGCAAAGAAGATAGTGATTTATATGAAATACAGTAGCTTATTGTGAGTTTTGAATAATTGTGAGGAAAATTCAGTACAAGTTGGGTCATGATCAGTACAAGTTGGACTCAGGACTTCTATTTATACAAACTACTCCTGTTTTCCTGTTTATTTATATCTTCTCTGCATGCTTGTGAAAATGAGTTGAGTTGAGAACAGAGCAGCTCATTCCGAGGAGCAACAGGATATGCATCTTGACAGTAATTTTTGCACCAAAGAAAAATGCTTGCATCTTGACAGTAACTTTTGCACTTGCGCCAACAAGAACTAAACTTTGGTTAACTGAATCCAATAACTACTGAGCTGTCCAGATTAACGAAATACGGTGCACAAATTTTCTGTCATCATCAGTAACAAAATTCAGATTAATAGATTAACACATTACAGTATCTACCAGACCAATGTCAAAATTCAGTAACAAAAATGTTTGGCGTCAAAATTCAGTAACAAAAATGTTTGGCGACTCCAGACCAGTATTTACCAGAGTTTGGTGCAGACCAGTGTCAAAATTCAGTAACAAATTTACCCCATAGACCAGTCGATCCACATGGAATGGACAGTGGTGCAGACCAATATATACAGTATATCAGCATTATTCTCTATATGCATATGCGACAAGTCTGTATATCAGCATTGTAATTCTGTATATCAACACTGTAATTCTGTATGTGCATTGCAGCAATGAGCAAATAAATATGAAGACTCTATTCTTGATGCTGTGTTATCAGTTATCACTATCAAATTTCCACATCAGGAATATTGTATATTCCATGCCAAACAAAGCTGAGATGGGCAACAATATGAACACCAAGAAAACTTCTCATATAACCGATAAAGTCACAGTCATCAGTAATTTATTTCCCACGGAGACAGGTATCAAGCTCGCTAACCATTAAACCATACAGGAACAACATTTAAAAACAAGGCAACTCCTCTAACTGAATCTCAACTAGCATGTTCTGCAACATCCATGAAAGCAAATGCAGCATCCTGAGGGGGCTATCAGACCTTGAACCCCTCGGCACGGAGGCACTGTTTGTGAGCCTCGATCCACTTGGTGCACGCAGACTCCCCGTGCTTGACGATGCATTCATCTCTGAGCCTTTTGGTGTCGGGGCAAGCGCAGCATATCTTCTTCTTCGGCTTCGAGTCAGTGGCAGGAGCTGCTGCTTCGTTCACAATGGAGCAAGCAGCCGGAGCTGCTGGGCCTTCGTTCACAATGGAGCACACAGGTGCCTGCACGGGCGTTGGGGCTTCAGTGCTACCCATTTCAGCAGCAGCAACTCAGGTATGACCTGCAAATCTGGGGGCGGAGAAAATAGAAAACTCACTTCAGTCCCCGTTGATCACGACACTATATCTGTACATTACAACGGTAATAACCCAATATTATGTTGTTCTTCGATTACAATCCAAGTAGATAACAGGACAAGCGGATATTGAAACACTGCAGTGTTCCTCTGAACTTACTGACGAACAAAACCTGATTATATTTCATTTCCCGCAAATTTTATTTGACCATTTTGGTGTAGCAATAGGATGTAAACAGGGAGACGAGATGATAACCTGATCTCATGTTCCAAGGTGCAAGTGTCAAGCCTCCGGATTAAATTCCAGATCTTGATGGTAACTACTCCTACAGTATGAGAAATCGGCTATCTGAATTTCTTTTCAGAAACCGCCCGCCTGAAGGCCTAAACCATGGAGCAAATCTTGCCCCGCTACTCGAATGAGCAGAGATAACCACGAAAAATCTTGCTCCGCTACTCGCATGCCTAAATCAACCGCCGATTTTGCAGAGCCCGCACGGACGCCCAACGGCGGCGGCTAAAACAGAGATGGACGCGGGGATCGAAGCAGGAGAAGAGAGGAGAGGTTACTTGCCTGGACGGAAACGAGGAAGTAGACTGTTGAAGGGGGGGAGCGCCGCTGCCGACTGTCGTCTTGGTGTGTGCGCCTCGGGCGGTCGGTCCGGCGGGCGGGTTTTATTTGTCGACGGCGGCCGCGCGGTGGCCCTGCGCGTGTCTCCCTCTTCTTCCTCTTCTTCTTGGGGCTTAAGAAAGAAACACGTAGGTGGGTAAGGAAGGGAGGCAAAAGGCCGTGCCGGACGGGCCCGGCCCGGGAGGAGGCCACGCTTCCCGTTTTGTTTTTCCTTGACAGTGCACTTTTCTCTTCGCTGTCCGGATTACTTTTGTTAAACATGAGCAAATTTCTGTTAAAAATTATTAACTTTATGGTGGATCTAGTGATACTGATATGAGTATTAAAAATTTAACAGACATGGCATCTGTTAAAGCAGAACAATTTGATGAAACCACAGAGCTAATTAGCACAACGTTGGAGGGGAAATAAACTTTGGTTCCCGGTTGTAGATAAACCTATATGGGGATTTTTTTTAATAATTAAATAAAAGTCAAAATATGTAAGAACTATTTTTGGAATGAACTTGACTTACTTTTGCACTAGTATATAATTTTTCACGAAAAAAAACCAACATTCACTTCACAGCGAAAAAGACCAAATTTATTTGCTATTATAGGTCACTATTCACACTATTTTGGCCAAAAAAATTGCCTTTTTTGAAAAGAGGTTAAAGGGCGATTTTCTTTTTCTGGAATTTTTCTCACGAGTACAATGGAGGGTCAAGTTTATGTCAAAAATATTTTCAGAATTTTTTGACTTTTTGTTGAATTACTAAAAAAAATTCCACATAAGGTGTAGATGTCCCCATAGACCAAACGTCCGCGTCCAACGTTCGAGAATGATTGATGCTGACAGTGGGCTGTGCTGGCATCTGTGCATCTCTCCGACAAACTAACATACGCAAGACGGAGGACTCATCGACCCAACCAAAATGTTGCTGATACAGTAGCGGTGTCACTAATAGAAAAGATAGACGCGGACAACTTATTGACCCAGAACATCGCTGATGCAGCAGCCGAGTCACTGATAGAAAAGAAGCCAGATGTTTTTGTTGAGCGATCATCAGTTAGTTCTACAAAACCATGTCTATTAGGTGGTGGACTTGGCACAATTCCAGAGTATGGAACTATTGGAGTATGCCATCCTTGTGTTCCCAACATCGGTGGATGTTAAACAAGAGTGCATCAAGCCACACTTGCAGTAATCAGAAATGCCACAGCTCTGCACGGTTCGGTTTTGACACAATGGGTCTGGATATCAAACCTTCTGTGCTTACTTCTGAGAATAGCTCAGAGGTGCACTTGGGTGAAAATTGTACAGTAGTCCCGGTCGCGGTGGCAGAGCCATGAAAGGAGTCCGTTAAGAGAGACCTGAAGGATTGGAGTATCACCAAAGAGCTAGCTATGGACAGGGGTGCGTGGAAGTTTGCTATCCATGTGCCAGAGCCATGAGTTGGTTGCGAGATCTTATGGATTTCACCTCTAGCCTACCCCAACTTGTTTAGACTAAAGGCTTTATTGTTGTTTTAATCCCGGTCGCGGTGCCAAAACGTTGGTTTTAACCACATAGGTTCCAATTCAAACCGAGTCTACATGCAGTTGTTGTTCGACAAAGCCTCTGAATGCTCATCTCTAAAATATACTATCATACTGCTAAGTGTAGGCCTACATTTATTTCTAACTTCTCTACTGCAGCTACATCTTCTATTGGCTTTCACCCATGGATCAATCACATCAACAAACCAAGAACATATGCAGTAAAAAGAACTTCTAGGAAAGGATTGGTATCGCGCCTTCCTTTCATTTTCTTTATTTATCAACATTTTGATATTTAAAACCATGGACTCGTGTTGCTTATATATATATAGCCGCAACCTAAACTCAACCGCTGACTCGTAACTAGGCTCGGTGAACTAATTACAGTTTTGCTAGAACTCATCTAGATGAGATATAATTTGGTCTCATTCATTTTTTATAGTCGGATGTGATGCTATAAGATGCGTGTGTGCTGATGTGGGTTGTATGTGTTCTTGTTTTCAAAATGAATGAGACCAAATTATATCCCATCTAAATGAGTTCTAGGTACTCCCAACTAATTAAGCCGACCCGAACACAAACCAATGCCATGGCATGCAAGCCATGCATACGCATGTACACGAACACTTACCAAAATTAACCGGCAAGGTTATTTCAGCGTGGCTTTCAGGTTTATACACTTTAGTCTTTTTGTTGTTCTCTGCTTATTTGTGTTGGAGGTTCTTCGGTGCTTAGCAGTAGAAGGTTGTTTTCCCTGATGAGAGCATCCTAGAGATAGCCAGATATCTGAGGATGTATGTTGTCGTTCTTGGTGTGGTTGTTTGTTGCACCAGTTAAGTGTCACAAAATTAAAGTGGTAGGTTGGATGATGTATATATAACTCCATTTGGGTAATGAAAATGGGGGCCATATAGCCCCTTCTATAAAAAAACCCGGCAAGCTTGATCACCGCTCTACTAATCCTAACCAGACTTAAACACGAACTAAACTTATTAGTACTTTCAGTTTAACCTAATTGATCTACTCGCAGAATGGCTTATCCCATAGCTACATGAATTAGGTTGATGCAGAGGCCGAGGTCATCCTCCTTTTTTTAAAATCTACATGGATTAGATTAGATTAAGCTAACAGTCTCCCCGCCCTCCTCTGGCTACTTCTCTTCTTCTCCTTAATCTCGTGCCGAGCTCTACCATAGCATTCTCGTCGATCTCATCATCGAAAGAGAGAGAAAAGCATGTCGGTGAACCCGTGCAGGCCTCCCGCAGCCTCGTGGCGCCACAACCGCGCGACAATCTCGAGGCTGAGGCTCGTTACCCATCTTGTGCTCATCGTTGATGGGCGTGCGGAGCCATGGAGCAGAGTCGTTGTCATCCGGGTAAAGAGATGAGAGGAGGTAGGTTGTCATGAACTGGCAACATCATGCTGCTAGAGAGGGGGGGGGGTAAATATGTCATTCGGTATTATGCTGACATCCCAAGAGGAAGAGAGGGATGGGATGGGGGCCCAGTAGGATAGATCACGGGGAGAAAACAATTGATGAATCACCTTTTTGAGGGTTGATGGGCAAAATGTGAGTTGACTATATTATTACAGTTGAGACCCAGGAGGATAGGCACTGAAAGAAAAAACAGTAAAAAAGAAAATTAAGCATGAAAGTAGGTTAAAAATTTAAAACTAACTTGGCAACATCATTTTCTTATTTTTAACAAAAAAGACCCACATTTATTAGGAAGGTTTAAAAGAGTTACAAAGCACACTAAACATAAAAATTACATCTGAGTACCCTACACCATCAAACTACCACTATCGCTGTCGGAATGAGTCATCGATGATCCATTGTCACTGCTTCCTGCAAGAGCCAGTCTAACCTTGTCGATGACAGTTATAAAATCTTAGTGCACGTACCTCTAAGTACCAAAATGTCCAGAGTTGCAACCGTCACCATCAAACCTTGAAATGATCTAAAGTGTCTGACACAAATCTTCACTACAAGAAATATGTCAACTTGTGACCTTGACTATTGGTCACTGAAAGGTCATTGTTTTTCATTTGCGACCTTTTGTTGACCAAAAAGAGAAGGTCAAAAGTTGAGGGTCGTTAACTGACTATAGCGACCTTCTCTGTGAGAAGGTCGTGGACGTTTACGACCAAAATATTCCTACTGTGGCGTTTTGGTCACTAGCAACCTCCCCAGGCCACGTAGGCATCCAGCGTGGCAAGCTGATATGGCACAAGATTCAGCCCGGTCCAATTCGGCTTTCTACATGGGCCTAGCCCAACAATTCGGCCTTTTTAATGTATTTTTTTCCTGTGCTTTTATTAGCTGGCCCAACATTACAGCCTTTTTATTTTTGGGCCATAGCCTTTTTGTCTCAACAGTTTCATTTTTTCTTTTTTTATAAAGTGGGTTCACTAGTCAGGTGGGTCCCCATTGTAAGGTTCTAGTAACTGGGCCCCTTTTATCATGTTATCGTAAGTGGGTTCCATCTATCAGGCTCACAGTCTTCATATTTCAACTACTATTTAAATTGGGAGAGACAGAAAACACACATATACTCCAAATAAGAGCAACCAGATCATGTAATACAATGGCAATAAAGGTAACGACTACAAGTTAATACATCACTTTACAAGATCTACAAGCTTTACAAGCTCCTTCCGTAGCAATCACAAACTATGCACCTGCTCCCATCATGAACAACATGCCAAACTAGTTGGACAACCATAGACAGATGAACAACATGACGGACTCGCTGGACAACCATAGTCAAGGCCTTCCTCGATCGCCCTGTTACATGAATCAGTAGAGAA